ATTCCTCCTTTTGATCTCTAACCCAGAGATCACCCACCAAATGGCCAATACTCACCTGGGAGGAAACACATAAGCAAGTATGAGAAAAATCAACCATAAGTCATCAAACATTAACAATCAGCTCCACCACTCCACCTTCCAAAGCACCACAAAAGAACAGCAGTAAAAAGAATACAACACAACAGAAAATACTGCAGAGAAAAACAACCAGCCACCAGCTAAACACCAACTAAAAAGAACAGGCCTTCCCAACCTCAGTTCAATCAAAAGAAGAAGAAATACATCACAGAACATCATCACTAATCATGAAAAACATAAAAGTGTCCATGTCACCTAAAAAGCAGTAAGAAAATAAATTCAACCTTACACAACAAATGACATAAAGTAAAACATCCTAGGACAGTAACAACATCAAAACATAACAATGTTGTGGAGAGAACAAGAACAGAAAAATACAGATACAGTCACAAAATTACATGTTAAACAATAATGTTCTTTCTTTATTATAGTTGTTGCTTCGTCTCCATAAACTGTTCCTGAAAAATATAAAGTCTTTAGTGAAGAAAAATGAAAAAAAGACTTGAGAAAAAAAATAGAAAAAATGTTCGCAACAGTTCGCAAGAGTTCGCAACTCCTCCATTCGTGAACCCGATAGTTTTTCGGGCTTCCATCCTCAGGGCCTCCACTTGAATATGCGATGCTCACTGAATATTGGATTATTATGCCAATATAACAATGAGTGTTGTCTCAGTCAATTGGAAAAAACCCCGAAAAGGATTATTATGCCTTTTCAGGCCTTAAACCTCAAACGCCAGGAACCAGAACCTATAGCAAGAATGAACCTGCTACACTCCTGGCCTAGACTGTGGCTCCTCCTCCGGGTCAGACGGGGGATGAGAATGCTCCTCCACCCCTGGTGTAAACTGAAGATCCTCCTCTGTCATGTTCTTCTCCTCCGTCAGCTCCGCCCTCTCCCTGGAGGCCTGGAACCGCCTGGAACGCTGCCACTTCATTTTGGCCCGAGGAGTCGCTCCGTCGATGACCCTCAGCCTCACCCAGTTGATCCCTGGTGTAGATTCCGAGTCCGACCTCTCTGCGACCCCTGGTACTCTGTAAACTCCGCCGCTAATATCTGAAACTCATTAAAACATCTTTATGAGATAAATGTAAAGGCTCACCTGTCCATTCAAGAGTTTGGGCGTCTGGTCCTGGAAACCTCCTTCCAGTCTGACGCTCGTACGGAGAGAACCCTGTAAATTTATTAACGGACATCCTAACAGACATCAAAACAACAGGCAATATAACAGGCAATGTAATTACCCCATTAAATTTGGTCTGTGCACAGATTATAGCCAATTTTCTTGATTGTATTGATTCAAACTCTGAACTTACCTGGTGATTGGATGACATACTGTACCAAAGAACATGTTCATCACAGCATTTGTTCCACTTTCCGGGGCTCCTGATTCCTGAAATGTGTAGCATCAACCTACCTGATTAGTTCCAGGAAGCCATGACTGGAATATAATGAGTAATCAAGCCCTTGATGACAGTTTTACTGTCCTCCTTTTTAGGTGGTCATGCTTCCAGCCATCCTGACAAATGGCTCCTCTTGCTTTCCAGATAGATAGTTCTTCTGAAGAAACCTCTGTTGATTTTGCATGATTTTATCAAGATGGTTCTGTTCCACCTGTTCAATATCAATACTTACCATCAACAAAGACGGTAAATATCCAGCTCTGCCAACATCCTTTCAGCCATGTTCACTCCATCATGTAGAAAAGTGATATTATGAGATTCCAAGATCTTCCTCAATCTCTGTTCTCTCAGGGTTGTCACTGTGAAATGTTGTGAGTTCACATATGCAACTACACTGTGTGATGTCATTACCTGCAGTGATGAACCGTCACAATGTGGCTGTTTTTTTGTTGTTTTCAATAATCTTACCCACTCCTGCTGCTTGCCTTATACATCCAGGATGTCTTTTCTCCATGGATCCAGCTTTGCACTTACATTCTGGAGAACCTTCCTCTCTCCCCCTGTTTTCTGAAACAGAACTGCATTCCTGCATTCAGAGAGTCAGCAGCTGCCACAGCTTGGATCCTTATCTAAGTTTGCCTCACATAAAGTGTACCTTAAATGTTCACGCTACTCCTAATATTTTATAAGCATAAATGTTGACTATCTTTTAAAGTTATGCTAACCAGACTTATATTCTCAACATTCCTCCTTTTGATCTCTAACCCAGAGATCACCCACCAAATGGGCCAATACTCACCTGGGAGGAAACACATAAGCAAGTATGAGAAAAATCAACCATAAGTCATCAAACATTAACAATCAGCTCCACCACTCCACCTTCCAAAGCACCACAAAAGAACAGCAGTAAAAAGAATACAACACAACAGAAAATACTGCAGAGGAAAAACAACCAGCCACCCGCTAAACACCAACTAAAAAGAACAGGCCTTCCCAACCTCAGTTCAATCAAAAGAAGAAGAAATACATCACAGAACATCATCACAAAATCATGAAAAACATAAAAGTGTCCATGTCACCTAAAAAGCAGTAAGAAAGTAAATTCAACCTTACACAACAAATGACATAAAGTAAAACATCCTAGGACAGTAACAACATCAAAACATAACAATGTTGTGGAGAGAACAAGAACAGAAAAATTATACAGATACAGTCACAAAATTACATGTTAAACAATAATGTTCTTTCTTTATTATAGTTGTTGCTTCGTCTCCATAAACTGTTCCTGAAAAATATAAAGTCTTTAGTGAAGAAAAATGAAAAAACACTGAAATAAATGTGAGTTCACATATGCCACTATACTGTGTGATGTCATTACCTGCAGTGGATGAAACCTCACAATGTGTTGTTTTCAATAATCTTAGCCACTCCTGCTGCATGCCTTATACATCCAGGATGTCTTTTCTCCATGGGATCCAGCTTTGCACTTACATTCTGGAGAATATAAGCACCATGAGGACCAAAGCACAGTCTCTACTCTGTGTGCCAACCAAGAACCTGGCAACCTTGATGCTCGAACATCTACAAAAATCACATTTTTAATTTTACATGTGAATTTTTAAAACAATGCCTTAAGCAGGTCTTGAACAAAGAATTGATGGGACCAAAGCCCGGTCTCCATCCAGTGTGCTAACTGAGCACCTGCCAACCTTCACGCTCAGACTTGTACAAATACAGCAAGTTTCAATCACATCAAATAAGTTTCTCAATGTTTCATATTTTATGGTTGAAAACAGTTGAAATCCAGGACAAAATGTCTATTTTATCTGCCTTTTTTCAAAGTCACCATTGCCAGCAGAAAAGATAAATGTGCTACAAGAAATGTCTGCAGTTGAATTAATCTATCGCTCCTCTGGCAATAAGTCTACTCCTTGCTGTAGTACATTTTTACACAGACTGAAGTTGAAGATTTCCCCAACTGGGATTTGAACCCACAGCACTTTATTGTGTGGGCCAACCAAACTGAAAGCTGTCTACTTTGTCTTTGAAGACTATCAGAAAACTAAAGGGAAGCTTAAACATTGAATAATCTTGTTGCTTCATATCAATAAAGTTGTCAGCAGAACTTCCTGCTCCCAGGACTTGAACCTGCGAGATCCCAGTCTCTTTCTTTCTGTTCTGGGGAACAATAGGCTGTTTGTATACAGAGAGGCGATGCTGAAGAAAGCAGGGAAAGTTGAGCCAAAAGCTAGGAAGAGTGTAATAAAACAGCAGATAACAGTTGCCGTTCCTAGTGGACACAGTCAAAAACCTTAAAGCCTGTGAAAGCCTTTCATAAATGTAGAGCAACTCATCGGCCTGACTCCTAATTTTGCCTCAAATAAATGCGTAGTTTCCTCCAGATAGTCTCTCTTTGCCTCGATCCAACAAGCTTTAACTTGAGGAAGCTTAACAGAACGACTAACTTTGCAACTAAGTTACGAACGTAGTGGGAAGCCCTTATCGGCTCTGCTCATACAGCAGTGAAACAGTGGAGCCAGGTCAGGAAGTCATAGACTAACAGGAAACTGGTCCACTGAATAAAGGCCTCTTGCTTATTTATAATTTTAGATTTGTCATTTGAAAGAACAATGGTCGGAAAAAGCCTCTGGTACTCACCAGGGTAAAATTACTCATTGCTCTTTTATAATTCTGCACACATGATATTGTACTTTAGTAAAATCACAGTTTCACCACTTTTTAAGAATCAGCAGGATTCCAGCCCTGCGCCTGTAATCAAATATGCATGATTCACCAGTAACCACCAGTGGAAAACATTTAACACTATTAACAGTCATCCCATCGATTTCAAACTGATGTTAGACTGGTCAGAGTTCAATTTCATGTTTTAGTTCAGGAGACTGTTGCTCTGAAAATATCTCTACCAATGTAGAGAGGCCTTCAGTGACAAATAAAGACATGTTTTCATGTCACAATCCTTCTCATAATGAACTTTATGACCCCATGGGTTATTCTAATGACCTTTGCAGCAGCTTCCTTAATTTGCTCATCATCCTCAGAAACCTACTCATCAGAATCACGATGCCACTTTGTTTCCTTTGCCTTAGTTTCATCACAAATATTTGTGAGGTTTGGGAGAAAATGTGACAATCAGCTTTTTGTACTGATATTAGTTTGTAGCCTCCTGGTTTGTTTACCTTTGGGTCTTTGGTCAGGTTTTGGTTGAATTTTAATCTTTAATTTTTATTAAAGACAGTGCACATTAATGAACAATCAACACTACTGTATAGACTGTAAATGAGCCAGATTATAGCATAATTGCTCATTTCCATCTGTAGTCCTAGACAAGGAGACACAAACAACACAAAGACATTATAAACATGCAATCAAGAATGAAACATTTAACATCAGCATTGATGATTAATTTCTTACTCCTGAATTTTGCTACAATAAACAGTTAACTGTTAAACCTTCAATGGCACCAGATGTTTTAAGCGGGCCACTGTGTGTTCTTCCTCCAGGTTCCCCTTCACTTCCTGTAACTGTGTCAACCAACAGACCTAAGGTGGAGGTGGAGGAGTTCTCAGGTGAGGACAGGGGGGGACAAGCAAAGAAAACGCCTCTGTCCACTTCCTGCACGACAGTAAACCGGGCAGCTATAAATAGAACAGGCCATTAAAGTGCTACTGATCCTTTGCCGCTGTGGAGGAGGCCCCTGATTGGTCCCGCTCTCCTGCCTTTCAGACGCAGAGCTGTCGTGCCTGTTCCACACGGAGAGAGACCCGAACCCGCGCATCGAGTGGAAGAAGAAGACAAAAGATGTCTCCTTCGTCTACTTTGACGGGAGCTTCAGAGGTTTGTTTTAATCCCAGCTGCATCTCATCCATACATCAGACAAGCTGATTTAATCATCAAGTTTCATAGTCTAATTTAAGACACACCTGACTGATGAAGGTCAGTGGTGTGGTGGAAGTTTAACCTTCCATCTTTAAGTCTGAATTGTAATGAACACAAGTTCTCACCAGGCAGATTCTGTTAATGAATGTCTTTGACCTACTGCCGCCTCTCCCACTTAATTAGCCAGTTGTGGCTCTTGCTTCATTAAGGACGATAAAAACACGCAGAGAGAGTGGCGTTCCTTTTTGCCACTCTGCAGCCAAACATGCAGCAGAAGCAGCATGTTTATTTGAGCATTCAGAGCATGTTCAGCTCTGAATGCTAAAACTATGACGACTGGTGGTTGGTAGAAGGAAGATCTGGGATCATTGATGCAAATCCACTCATCATTCCCAACTTTTCTGCAAATTTCACCAAATCCTGTGTCCTGTTCTCAGTTTCATAACCTCTAGAACTGCAGCCTTGTCACTTTAGGTTTTGACTTTAGTTGGACGATTACGCTTTAGTTGGGATTCACTGAGAAAACATCCCTTCAGTTCAATTTCACTGCACTTGTTTTGAGTTTATAACCAGCTCTGAGTAAAGTTGACTGCAGCTGAATTTGCTACTGTGGGGGGAAGAAAATAAATAAAAAATTGCTAAGTCTTTCTTCTGCAACGCTCTCAGCCGTTCAAGACCTTCCGACATTCCTCCCAGGTCCCTTTGAAGGCCGAGCGACCATCGTCGGTGCGACGGTGACCCTGCACAGAGTGACCCAGGAGGACGCCGGAGAGTACCGCTGCGAGATCAGCGCATCCCTGGACACGGTCAGCCTGGGCGAGACCAATGTGACCCTCAACGTCTTGGGTAAGGAAGAAACGTAAACTGGTTTTGGGTTTTTTTTTTTTGGAGAAACCAAAGTTCTGACTCACCCGTTCTCACTTTGTCACCCAGTGCCCCCGCAAACTCCCACATGCGAAGTCCCAGCCTCGGTGGTGACGGGCTCGGCGGTCCAGCTGCGCTGTCGGGACCAGCAGAGCGTCCCACCCGCCACGTACTCCTGGTTCAAGGACAACAAGTCAATCAGCAAGCCCCGTCACGCCAACGCGACCTATCTAATCAACTCCCACACGGGAATACTGGTGAGGCCGCATGCAGATTAGGGGAGAAACAGAAGGCGGCTCGAGCGTTTATGACTGTCTTCTTCAAAGCCGAATCTTATTAAACTGAGGATAAAGACAGTTTATCATATGCAGGATTTTAAATGTTTTCAAATTCGGCCCATCTATATAGAACCTCTTTTTGCTTCATCATCTCAAACCGAGTCCAAGTTTATTTAGATAGCACACACAAGACATCTGGGAGTGCTTTATGTCATTAAACCCGGGCTAAACTGATGAGTTTTCACTCAGGTTACATCTTCTGGAAGTTTGTTCCAGGTCAGCGGTGAGTAGCAGCTGAATGCTGTTTATCAGCATGCAGAGCAGACCACAACTTGGGTGGTCTGGAAGGTTGATGTAACAAGTCTTTAATGTATTTCAGTGGTAAGACTATTTGAAAGTGTTCTACCTTAGAACCGCTCCATGGTTCTGGTTTTAGTGAGAATTACCAGCCGCCTTACTTTGTTTTACTACTTTTGGTCTAAAATATGCTAGAAAAACTTGATTCCAACATGACTTTGTGGGAAATCCATTGTGGCTGTAACATTTAGTTTTGCCAGGTAGTTAATTTTCTGGACTCCCAGTTGAAGTTTTGCTTTTCTGCAGGAGTTCAAAGCGGTCACCAAAGAGGACAGCGGTCGCTACAGCTGCCTGGCGTCCAACGGCGTGGGCTCGCCCAAAATGTGCGAGGCCAAGCACATGACCATAGGTAAGGCTGTTCTGTAAAGGTCTCCGGCTGTTTCCCCGACTGAAGTCCAGTCTCTCTGGTTCCGTAGAGGACGTGAACATCACCGTCATCCTGGGGGCCGTGGTGGTGGTCTTCCTGCTGCTGGTGGTGTGCGGCTGCGGCGGGATGCTGTTACATCGTAACGGCTTGTTGACTCGTACGGCTTGTTGACTCGTAGGTGTCTCCTCCAACAGCGGGTAAAGGTTTTGCATTTATGAACATGATGTTGATTGGTCTCTGTTTTCTCGTGGCTACGTCTCATCTAGAAGGACACAGAGGGAGGTAAGAACTTTTCTCATATGCACCAAATAAATGTAATTATTTACTTCTTGCATTGGAAGAAAATCTCAAACTGACAAATACTTACCGGTTAGTTTTCATGGAAAACCTGCAGAGATAATTGACTTTCCCTGCAAAAATGTTGGGCCTTCCTGTTCTTATCGGCTCCATTTTGGTCACTGGACTCAAACAAAACCCCTCGGACATTTCAACTTGACAAATAAACACATTTTGTTAGGCATAAAGAAAAGGATCAAATCTTACTTGTCATGCAGACTGACATACGAATGGAGCAGGACGTCTTCCTGTAAACAAACTAAAAGGAACAACATAAAATCATATATCCACAATACTTCAATGTTTCAATGTGACTGCTGCTTTACCATTTTTAATACTCTTTTGAAAAATAAATCTAAAAGTTCAGAGCACATGTTTCAGTTCAGAAATGGGGATAATCTCCCTTCAATTTCTGCAGGATTAAAAACATCTCCACCAAACAATCTACAGCAAATTTGTCTCCCTTTCCTCTCGTGCGTAAATATGTTTACAGAAACAGAATTCAAGCCAAAAAAATAATAATTCAAAACATAAAAGGACGATTTTTATTAGCACGATTCCTCTTAGTTGTCATGTACTTTTAAAATATTGATAATTGCTAAATCAGTGGATCCTGGACATGGAAGATGGAGCCGGTGCTGGAACAGACATATACTTAGAAATGAGTCACTTTGAGTCTGAACTGCTCATTATTGTAGCGCCACAGAAACCGTTTTGTAGAAGACGTCAACTTCCGTCGATGCAGATCAGATATAGATTAAAATTTTAACGCTCCCCAAGCCTAGTCATTATATTCAAAACAGCTTCAAAGAAAAATGTAATTTAACTCTGAGGCAAGGAATCCTTGCACTTGATCTACAAGATCTCTCAGAGGAAAAAGGATGCATGCGATGATATGTATCCTCACATCTCACAAATATCATGGAGGCCACTTCCTGTGTGGAAAACCTGAAGAGAACCGAAATAAACCCTGGATAAATCCACTTTTTTCCCATTCAAGAAAAAAGAGAAGTAAAATATCCAGCTTATTCGTCGTCTTTAGGAGTGTTCACATCACAGTATTATGCTGCTAAGTCCACCGGGAGCTTTCTGCACAGGAAAACTGATGTCATTATCTGTCTACGAAAAGGTCAAACCGTGTTCATCTTTGTTTTATTTAATCCGTCTCTATTGTTATCTTGGGATTACATCGGTGGGATATCGCACTGGGCAGCCGACACGCACGCAATTACTCGTGGCGACTTGGACATCCGAAGGGCAGGAAGAACAGCGCTGCAAAAGTTTAAAAAAAAAAAGGTGTCACATCCAAACAGTTGTGGTTGATTATACTGCAAAAACACAACGAGATGAACTGAGTGGCTTGAGATGCAGGATCTAATGTGTTCTCGTGTCTCGACACATCACACCTGCAACATCCTTTAGATGAGGAAATATATCCATTGAACTGTCTCCAGTAACTCAGTAGGATTAAGAGTGGTTTTGTGGAGTAATTATAAATGGTAAACATCTTACCTAAGCTCAACAGCAGTCAGAGCAATATAGATACAGAGCATCACTCACAGCTAACTATTTTACTGTTCTGAATGAATTTGCATCTCATGACACTATTAACTGATTTTTTTCTTTTTTCTAACTGTCTGCTTCTTAATATACTCCTAACTAACTAAATTGCCTTACTTACTAATAAAGTATCTCGGTTGCAAGAATGCATTGTAATGGTTTTGGCTTTCAGCGACTGAAAACGTCAAGTTCACTTTCTCAGATTTAAAAGGAAAAAATGGAACTGGCTGATAAACTACAATATGGAAGGGGATTCATGGGAAGTTTAGTGAAAGGAAAACTTTTTCTGGTTTAAAGGAGAGAGGCAAACGATCTATTTGCCACACTGATGCACAAATCCATGCAAAAGTAAGCATGTTTTCCATCTGATGCAGTGCTATGACTTTCAGAGAAACTGAATGTTGGGTTTTCATCACCACTAGGCTGCTATCTTTAGTCTAGATGTAAAAGCGCTGAAGATCGTAGTTGTTTGAACCCGACGGGTGCGTGAACGACTTGCCTCCAAACTCCCGCATGGTGTGCTGTGCAACATGAGCCCGCTCTTGTCAAAGCCGCCAACCTGATACCCCGCAGGTCGTTTTGGATCTCCCAGTGTCACGGCGCGGCCCACATCATCAGCCAAACCCTGCACAGAGGGGACGACACGTGAGTGAAACACGAGGACAAGTTTACAGCCAGAAGAGTTTAAATCTCATTACCGGCACCGACTCCAGGAAGCGTCCTCCCCCTCTCCGTCTCTCCGCTGGGGAAATAAATCGTGGCCACGGCCGTTTTGTTTGGATTAAACTAACGAGATAAGGTGTTAATTACTTGCCGCTAAGCTGATTTCTTTTACTGTTGGAGTCGTATCTTTGTTTCCTCTGGTCCTGCAAGCTGCATGTTGAACACACAGAAGAGGCAGGAACATCCTATAACACAAGAAAAATATCCTCCATTTCTCATCATTTCAGACGGAAATATCTAATTATTTCCCCTAAAGTTCAGGAGAAACCTTAGCTTCGGGTCAAAGTGTAACACCAGACTCCTTCAAGTCCAAACAATCACCGAAGCTGAATAATTCATCACATCAACTTTGGCATCTCTACATTATTAAATAACAAATGTAATATTTATAAAGCCAGGTAGAAATGTTAACAAGTCTACTAAAGAACTGACCCGCTTCATTAAAGTTGAATGTGACAGATTGACAAGTTAATAGACACCTTTGTTTAAACCGGGGCAGAGTGTGAGAGCTGTAGGTAGTCAGTGTCTTACCAAGAGTGGAATGTTTAAAACATTAAAACATAATCAGGAAATGAAAACATAATTTCCTGATTATGTTTTATCTGCTTTTGCTATTGGAGATGAGGAAGAATTTCCACATATCCCACCAACATTTTAAGAAATTGAAACTAACAACTGGAATCATTCAGAGGCTGAAAACAGGCAGATTCTCCAGATATTTGTAAATACTAATAGATTTAACTGAACACTTAACTTGTATGTAAATTTGGAACATTTTTATGATTAAATAAAACTACTTAATTATCATAAAAGAAGCATTAAAAACAGAGAAGGGTTTGTTTGGAGGTACAAAATAGCAGCTTGTGCTTTTTATCTGCTGCGCTCCTCATTGTGCTCCATTAAATCCTGACTCAGAGGTGCCTTTCGCTCGGTTCTTTGTACCATGTATGTATAGAATGAGTCAGAACCCAGCTGTCTGCTGTCCTCACGGTGGCTTTGTCTTTCAGGTCCAACGTCAACTATGTCCCCCCACCCCAAGAAGTGAGTGTCGCCCCCGTCTACCGCTCCTCTTCTTTAGATTCTGATCACTCGGACATAAATGATTTTTTGCTTCTATCCCTTGTCAGCCCCAGGATTTCAAACACACTCAATCGTTCATGCTCTGAGAAGATGGCTCCCCCCCCCCCCCCCTGCCTCCCTGCTGTGATGAGGTGCCAACGATGGATTCAGATTTCTTTCCCCGCTTTTGATCTCCCAGCAAACACCAAACTCTATCCTCGCTTTGTTTTTGATTTGAATCTTTGATTACATTTTGCTTTTTGTGCTGTTCACTTTCACCCATCAAAATTGGGACTTAAAGAAGCGCTGTGGCACTATGCTGCCCCCTGCTGGTTACATCTCGAAAGCGATCCTCTGACGACTTTTTTTTTTTTTTAAATCAAAGACTGATGCTTAATTCAAGACTTTTATTTTCGTTTTAGAAATTGAATCTAAGGGGAATCTTTTGAAGCCATACTGAATCATTTCAGTTGTTTCCAGACAACTCAAGACTTAAATACAGCTTACCTCCAGTCAGTATTTTGTCTTCTGTCTCAGGCCCAAACACCATTCAGATCCCCATATCATGATCTTAGTAAAACCAGGAGGATTAAGTTTGACTCGTTCAACTTGAGACCAACCCCCTTCCGTCCTGATGTGCCTGCATGGTCTTCTTTGATAAATGTATACATAAATTATCTACAGTAAACCTTGTGCCTTTTTAATTTCACAGTCATATCAATCTCGGGATCACGCTTTTTTGTAAACAAACTTGCCTTACTTTTCTGTCTTTATATATATATATATATCTATTCTCGTGCCACTGTTTATCAAATGATGTGTGGATGACTATACAGTTTTATTTGAATGAATCAATAAAAGGTTTTTTTTTCTTTTCTATTAAATATCTTCTATCTTCTCTTCATTTCCCAGAGGCGTAAATAATAAAGAGCACCAGCAGCTCGGCGAACAAAACTATACATGAATCTTTCAAGTGATTCTAGATGAGCGGCGGACCTGCTCGCGCTTTTCATCTGGAGCCTCCTGAGATCGATCTCAAAGCGTGGCAGAGCCAGCCTAAAATTTTAAGCAGCGGGTCGAATAAAAACAGCATTTCTGCTGCTATTTTAGGCTTCAAACAGTCATCCTGGAGAGACTTTAAATGCATCCCTGACCTTGTCATAATGTGGCACTCTCAAGACTAATTCAGAGTGACAGCCAATTTCTATCTAGGTCACCAGACATTTGGCTCACTGTAATTCAGCCAGTTTCAGATAATAAGAACTACATTTCACTTCAAATCGAGACCGAGACGTAAGCCATACACTGAATGAGAAATTAGAAGTAAATATCTGAGATCAGGTCATAAAATAGAATATTTATGTTTTCCCAAGACATAAAATTCACATTCTGTCACATTAAAAAACAAATGTCTTTGGGTAATGGTGAAGTCTAAGGGAAATAGATGGTTTCAAAGCTGAAATGTTGCAACTTTAGCAAATTCTTACATAAAGCACCTGTGTGCGATTTAAGCTTTGAGCTTGAGTCCAGCTGTTATGTAAACAAAACGAAGACCTGAGCACATGTGGAGATGTTAAAAACACAACGTCCCAATGGAAACGGCAGCATCATGCTTTGGTTTAATACTTAAAGAGTGTAAATCCTGCACAAAGCAGCCATGAACATGCAGCCAGAGCGACACTGGGATCATTCAGATCACAAGAAATGTAAGAATTAGAATGGCCTAGTCAAAGTGCAGATGTAAATTAAAAATATAATCAGTGAAATCTGATGTTCAGACTCTCTGAGCATGTTTTAGCAAAAAAATAAGATGTAGTTAAGAGAATAAACTGATTCAGGGGGAATGTCACACATTTTACATTTGTAATTGCAACATTAAACACCAAACTTTGTGGCTAAACATTTCAAACTAACATTTATTTCTAATATTGTGATCTGAAAAAATAAAAACCCAGCAGATTTTTGATAGGTTTCAAAATTATTTACCACTTACAACTTAAAATAAGATTCAGATTCTCATTTTTCACTCCACTCTTTTATTAAATACAACATTTTTGAGACATGTAGGAGATTTACAACATGGACGTCCTTCACTTGGCGCCTTCGTCAAATTTCACCTCTGTAGGGTAAAAAAAAGAACAAAAAAAAGGCATTAAACACCAGCTACAGCACAAACTGTCAAAACTGATTCTGAAAAGCAACAATGTAAGCCTGAAGCTGAGAGAGAGAAAAAAAAGCCTCCTGGATCTGATTCCAACGCAAGTCATCTTCCTCTCCGACACCATCTTTGCTATTTTTAGACTCAGACAAAGAAGAAAAATGACAGCGCGTCTCTTCAGAGGCATAAATATTCACAAAAGGGAAAGTGTGAAACAGCGTCTAAGCAAAGAAGAAAAAAAATGCCACGTCATAAAGAACTCGCTCCCTCTTCTCACCAAGGCTGCTGCTATTTTTATTAGCTGAAATTAATTGTGGGGATAAACTGCTGGCTGCTCCATATTTGCCCTCCAGGGACACAATGAAGCACTTTAGTTAATCAAAGGAATAAATCAAGGCTTCTTGCTGGAGGAACTTTGACTTAAACTTCCATACTTTAAGCCATTTCATAAATAACTACGAGCTACGCCGCTCTGTCTGGGTTGGTCTGTCCTTCAGGAAGAGATGCAGACATCCTAGATTCTGGGACTGATTTAAAAACTCTACATTGTCTGATCTGAGGAAAAAAAAAAGAAAAAAAAGGAGAACCAACCAGTGAATTTGAAGTCTGGAAACTTGCTGAAGTCTCCTCCTCCGTATAGCCTCTGCAGTTTGGCTATTTCCTCGGTCATATTCTTCTGGTACTCGGGCCCCGCGTCCACGATGCCGCCGGAGGTCCTGAGGGAGCAGAGGCAACGGGACGCCATTACAAGAACTCAACTTCCAACTTCTCATGCTACCACCGAATGCGGAATAAAAACTAAAATTGACTGACTTGCTCTTGGTGCTGTAGTCCTGGATCTTGTCCAGGAAGAGCTTCTGGATGGGGTCGAGCTCCTTGGCCTTGTTGAAGACCACCGCAGAGATGCCGATGTTCCTGCGCAGGGTGAGGCTCACTGCGGAGCGCAGCACAGAGGACAGCTGGAACAGCCGATGCAGCGTCATCTGGAGGAAATAGAAGACTCAAATCACACTGCTGAAGCAACATGTGGAGAACAAAACCTGAATCCTTGTGTCACATTGCAAATCCAAGAGTAAACGAGCAAGTTGAAACTAACAGTAATAGCTAATTTAAAAAAATGAAATCAAAAGCTAGGCAGAATAAGCTTTAATTAAATATGTATGTATTTAAATAATCAAAATATAAATATCACCTTTTAACAAATTAAAGGCTTAACTGTCTGAATAAAATGTGAGTGGTACCAATTTACACATAGTCACCACCCATGTTCAAACATGAACCATTTTTGCTGCTTTTAAGTTAAATAAACCTCCCTTCTTTAAACCAGGCTTTAACAATAACTGAGAAAACTGCTGCCATGTAAAGTAGTGATCTGAAATTGCAGACTTTGAGGGTCAGAGTCCTAAACACTAACATTAAATGACTAAACTACTTTCCTACCATACAGTAAGAAAGCATGCTAATGAGCTGAAATTGGAAAAAGCAGCAAAAAGGGTGACGTTACAATGCCTGCTACTTCTTCACAATTAAATACATTTCTAAACGCTGCACATTTTCGATCATCTTTAAAAAATGCAATAAGTAAACACAATAAACAGAAATAAAGGGTAAATAGCGACCGGAGGAGTTTAAATCAGGCAGGGATTTATATGAAGTAGCTGCAGCTATTGTTAGCAACAGCTAGCTCCGACAGATTCAAAACCTAAAAACTCGGTGACCTGCATTATTTTAGACATCTCTAACCATTCAACCAATATATCAATAAGTTACTAATTCTGCTCAAGTAACAATCAAACGTTTGTTAAATAAAATAAAGCTTTGCAATAAAGCTAAACATGCTAAAAATGCTAACGCAACGGCTTCTAAAGTCTTATTTTAAATGCACTTTCAGACGGACAGCTGTTAATTAACGGCTACATCCCTTAAGGAGGTGGACACAGAACGCAAACAAGTCATATAAAAGATAAAACCAAGAATATTTTGATAGTAGTTTGAGCTTTCAGAGAACAACTCACCTTGGGTTTGACACTCAGAGGAACGAATGTGGAGGACCGCGGTGGATTGTGGGAAGAAAATGGGCTTTCGTCGTCAATACTGCCCCCTATTGGCAGCGTCGAGCATCTTCAGATGACATTTTTATTGATAAAGTTGGGAAATGATTAAAATAAATTATTAAAGACAATTTGAGATGCATATGGCTATGTATCTCAAATACATAGGCATACATACATTTTGTATTAGAATTTACATAGATTTGTACCCCGATTTTGATGTACAGATGGATTCATAAGTTCATTTTAATAAAAATAGCTGCAAAACAATTCAAACCTCTTGAACTTCAGCGTATTTACTGGAGTTTGAGACAGACCGACGCCTAATGCAAAAATATTTGCTTGCAAATTTTAAAAATCCTAAAAGTGTGGCATGCTTTTGCATTAAATTCGCTCAAGCTTAGTAAAAATTCTCTCTGGACATCTATTTAAAAGTCTATTCGCTGCAGCGAGCGTTCAAACCTAAAATGTTGGACTTTGATTGGGCCGTTTCATCTCCGTTTCTTTAAAGTCCGTCCTAGTTTACAACTGCAATAAAATCATGCATGACACCTTTTAAAACATGTTAAATAATTATTTAACATGTTTTAAATAATTAAAACATGTTTTGTTTTGGTCCACTAAACAGTCAACAGCAGACTCACATTTCAAGAAATAAAATAGGAGACACTGCTTTGACTTTTTTTTTTATGTACATTCAAAACTTTATTATGGAATACAGCGTAGAAAGCATTTTCCCAGTCGATGCAAATGGCCTGCACAATATTACACAGTGGAAAAAACAAAACAAAAAACATACTCCACAGAAAAAAAGAGAGAAAATCCTGCTTCTTCTTCTACTACTCTATGGCGCATCCTCTGAAACAACAAGCTCACCCAGCAGCATCCCTAAAATATACATTTCACTCAGTTGCTTCATTCGTCGTGGGATCTATGAACAAGTGTGAGAGGCTCCATGTACTTTACGCTCGCCTCCAACTTGGCTGTTGGTTCTCTGCGGTGAAAACATCTATATCTGTGTGTCAGCGTCTGAGCTGATGGCAGAGAGGTGAGCTGCAACGCCAGGAGGAAAAAGAAAAGGCGAGGAAGAGAGGGGAGGTGCAGCGGGAAGTGAAAAATCCATTATATACACAGACTGCCTGACTGACTGGTTATCCATCCGAAACTGCAAGTCATTTCCTCTCCTCCTCTTCCTCCTTTTCTACCTCTTAGCACTCCTGAAGCAAACCTAAAGGAATAATGAGACGGCATTGGCTTACAAATAGAGGAAAACACAACTGAAAGGGTTCCTATACCAATTTCCAGACGCCCCAGTATTTTGTTTCTGTTTTAAAAAATATAAAATACACAAGTTCACCAGAACTCTATGATAAATATCCAACAGCAGGTGAGTGGAAAAATATTGCATCTGCCAAAAAAGAAAAAGAATGAGAAACTGGGAGGATAGCAGAAAGGGTTATGTTGTGGAAATAAAGACATTTTTCCATCCTGACTGTGTAGGAAACATGGGAACCATCCCAACCTGGTTGCTTCTCTCAACCGTCGCACAAACAAGAACACGATCTGGAGCAACTCTGCTGCAAAAAACAAAATCTCAAGTATTTTTGCTCTAATTTCTAAAAAAAAACCCAACTAATTTACGAGTAACTTTTCAGCACGACATAGGAGCTTATGCCTATATATTGATAAAGTACTAGTTATAAATGGAATAATCTGCCAGTTTTAATTGAATTAAACTCACTTCTTGCTGAAAACTTGCTTGTAATTTAGTTTTCTCATTTCAAGTGTACCAAACTAGGAGAAAATAGAGCAAAAACACTTAGTAGGGTTTTGATTTTGCAGCGTTCAGAACGCCGGTACACGTAAGGATTCTGAACGATATAGTTGGATGGGTGAAAATTTACAGAGATGAATCTCCTCCTCGCCCTCCAGCCTCAAGAACGAGAGGAGCTCAGAATTTTTAACTTAAAAAAAATGTAATTTAAGAAAAGAGGAAAACTAAAAATCACATGATATGAAAAAGCAGACAGGTTTCTAGATATTTTTCATTCTCGTTTGGATGGTCACGCGATCACGATTGGATGCTAAATGTACAATCTTGCTAGAATGACAATCTATGAGTGAGGAAGGATCTCCAGAGAGAGCAGCGTCGAGATCCGGTTTTGTTTCGTTTTTTTTTTTTTTTCCTTACTCCAAATCCTGTTGTCATGCACACTACATAAACAGCTAAGACTTCAGCATTATTACTTCAGCAACATTACACGCAATTTTTAAAAAAAATGACTTTATATCAGTTTTTTTTTTTTTTTACCGTTTTCAATCTTTTTTTCAGAAAAAGAAAAGTGGAAACGACAAAGTAAAAACAGCTCCAACATTTACTACAGCCGTCGTCAACGTGGTCGCCATGTTGTCCCTTCGGAGCGGCTTCACACAGCCCAGCTGTTGCGTGGAGGGAGGGGAGGATGGAGGGAGGAGAAAGGAAACCGTTCTGTTTTTAGAGATGTGCCGCCCCGAAACTAAACGGAGAAAGTGTGCTTTTTTTCTTCTTTTTTTTTTATTCCCCCCCGTTTACAGCCAAGACGCAGCAACTTCTACAATTTAATTTAATTAAACAAAAAAAAAGAAAGAGAAAAAGGCGTCTTGCTGCAATAAAGTGAAGGAAGTGGGTTTGAAACAGGAGGAGAGGCGGTGGGAGGTGATGGTGTGTTTATGAGCGTGTGTGTGTGTGTGTGTGTGTTTTTTTTTGTGGCCTCAGTTCTGCATCTGCTCAAAGAACTTGTAGGTGGGGTTTTCGTAGCCGTTCTGCTGCATCTTGGACAGGTGGCGCTCCTCGGGGGTGACGGCAGCATCCACCTGGAGGGCAGCCAAGAGGGGTGGGGGTTTGGGGGCGGAGGTTACACGCGTCATGTGGTGGAGGTCCATATGGGAGAGAAAACTGACACATTCTATCATTTCGGAGCCACTCGGCTCGAAGAGAAATGAGCAAAAGCAAATCGGTGATTCATGTTTTAAATCGAAGCGCTAATGAAATTTCAGGAAAGATGAATGCGACCAATTAGAAACATGAAACCAGAAAATTAAACGCAGCAGAAGCATTAATCCGTTTGCTTTTTAAAGTTTTCTATTTAAAACAAAAAAAAAAAGTTTCTGAAGTGATAAATGGCTGTTTCAAAGGGGTTTTTTTCATATTTGTCAGGTCAGATTTAGATTGATTGATTGGAAAAATCTGGACAGGATTCCAGGCGTTTGACTGCTTGGAATCAGTGATTTCACAGAATGAAGGAACAAACTTTCAGAGCTTTTGTTTTGGAATTGAAACCAATGTAAAGAAGCAAACAACCCAAATAAGCAAAGGAAATGCGCTACATTCATTTGAGTTCAAGTGTTGTGTTTTGAGATGTTGAAAATTTTTAAAATGCCTTTTATTTTCTTGGAGTTTGCATTTTTTCAGGCTTTTCCAATCTACATCAGAACTGTTGATTAAACACATTCTATATTTTCCTGTATTATTATCATCATGCCTTATGTTGTGTTACTGGACACAAATACGTTGATGTTTGACTTGTAATGCTACGCACACGTCGCGTTTCTCACCTCAATGACTCCGTGGTGGATGGAAGTGTACTGCTTCTTCCTCAGCATCACCAGGGTGATGACGATCACCGTTGCTATGACCACGCCTCCCACCATGAGCCCGATGATGGCGCCCTTGTTGGAGCCGACGTCCTCGGCGAAGAAGACCTGCAGGAGGCCAAGCACAAACGGTGGTCAGGTCGCAAACGCAAGACTGGAGTTAAATGAGCCGAGCGGGTTATTGGCAGCGCCTCTGATGTTTGCCATTACATCTCTGGACATTAGGGTGAAATTGTACTGCGGAGTTGGACAACTTGGGATGGAAAATTCATTTCCTTCCTGCGGCGGCCAGATGACTCCCACACTATGCACTGCATGCATTCAGCAACAACCAAACAGGATTACAGCGCTCTGTTATTTTCAGCATATCTCCAAGAAGAAAGAAAATTGTGCTTGTTTTCTTTAAAGACAGAAAAATCTAACAGAAACCAGTAAGTCAGATAATCTAATAAAAAGTGACTTCGCTCAGGCCGCTCCTGGTCCATGCATGAAATGTGGCGTTAATAACATGCAGGGATTGTGGGATTACAGCCTCTAGGTGAGAGGAGTGAGGTGCGTGGATTTGGGCAGAGAATGGATTGAGGAGATTAAAGATGGAGAGCAGAAACGCTTCTATAATCTCTAGTGGAGCGGCTTCGGGGCAGAGCGGGAAAAAGGCGGAGAAAGTGTGACGCATGCATTATTACGGTCGTCTACTCGTCTCCATGGTGACAACCTTGAGAGTTTACCAGGCGGACGAGGTGGAGATGTGCTTTACCAGTTTCTGGTGGTGGACTTCATATTCAGCGCTCTGTCTGTCCTCGGTCTCCATCCGCATCTCGGGGACGGCGTCCATCTCGACTCTGATCGCTAGCAGGACGAAACGGTACGACCCATTACATTTTTTTATTTGTTTCAAGTTTCAACCCATTACTGAAGATATTTTCCTCCACTATGAACACGGTAACATTTCCTCATAAAAGACTGCTGGCAGGTTAATTAACCTTTTCAAAGGTCTCTTATTAAGAAGTGGTGCTGCTCTTTGTATTGGTGGAGCAGAGAAACTAGACCCTATTCGACTACATCTATAATTAAATCAGTTTTTTTATTTGAGTTTGGCTTTATAAATAGCAATTATGTAGACACAAAGAGGTTCTTATTACCTCCAGAGGGTGCAGGAACACACAAGAAATTTTGTCTGTCTGTTTGGACAAAGACTAGTCCCAACATTATTGGTCTGTTTGGTAAAAATGTGCAAAAAACCAAGAACTTTCTCCCACAAACTGTCACGCCCCCTTCTGGGGAAAGTAGATACAACAGTTAAAGGGAGTTGAAGCAACTTTAAGGGTGTTTGGGGCAATTAATGCATAGAATATATGACTTTAAGGTAGAAAGTTGAACAGTAATATAAGATTACTTCTGTTTGGTGGCTGCAAAGTTAATTAGAAAAACACTTTAGAAACTGGAAGGATGGGCTTTAGATTGAAAGTAACAAGAGATTATTTTTAGGCAGCTGATTTTGTCGCCTTGTTTTCATTTTGGCAAGAAGCTATATTTAGTCTTGCACAACTTTACCAGCAAATCTGTGATTTAAACTGTGTCAATAACAGAGCTCACATTTTGCTTCAGTGTTTTTTTAACCCAATAACTGTTTTTTTTAAATAATAAGCACCCTTGTTCTCTGTGTTCTGCTGGTTGAAGCTCTCGGGGTGGATGAAGCCGACTCCTCCCAGGGCGTCCTCCTTGGGCACCGGGTCGGTCTGTCCGTCTCCGAATTCCTGGTCGGGCATCAGAGCGTCGTTCCCGTAGCTCACCCTGGTGTCGGTCTGCAGGTAGGCCAGCTGCTGGGCCATATCGGCCTGCTCCCTCTGCAGGAGCTCTGCAAAAATAAATATGTCTAATTGGTGCTCTATTTGCCATTTATTCCGAAACAGACGGACAGACTTTTGAATGGTATTCGTTTCATCTTTGGTGAGCTCCGCAGAATGTGACAGACACGCAGATGGTCGCATGACGCCCATAGAAACCTTGCGACTGCAGCGGTGAGAGGGAGAGGATTTATCTTTCCAGCGAACAGTTTCATTTGAGTCTGAACAGAAGAATTAGGCCAAACGGCTCCAATGTCCTTATCGGTAGGGGGAGGAGAAAAAGAAAAAGAAAAAAAAAATTCTGCGGACTGGAATTCAGAGCATTTAATCTGTTACCCGTAACACAATCAAGGCATTGAGCTTTTCACAGTATCCGCCTCCCATTTAGGTCAGCAGCCACAAAGGGTACAAGAGATTTATAGCCAAAGCTGCAAGAAATGGTTTGGAATGATTGAAATGTTTTTGTTTATTTCTGCTGAACCAGCCAAATCCAAAAATTTAGTTTATGAAACTTTTTCTGGGTTTATTAAGACTTAAAAGAAAGTTTATTTGCTGCGAAATGTTCATTTCATCTGGATGTTATAACAGAACAATCCCAAGGAAACCGAAAAACTACAATGTAGAAGAACTCACAATCCCCCCAGTGACACACAGTGGTGGCAGCAGAATGCTGTGGGAGTAAAAACTTACCAACTTGGTCTTGGATGTCGTCGGCAACGCCAGGGACTTTGTAGAGAAGGCCCAGAGACTGGTTCATACGTTCCTCAATAACACGCAGATGAGTAAGAACCTGTAGCACAAAAGTACAGGCAGACCCGGAGAAACAGGAGCATTTCTACTTCTATAGGTACAACAAAAACACAGCAGAGTTTCTGCAGGTTTAACCAACGTAAATTTAAGACTTTAAGTCTATTATGATCTAAAACTGGTTTAGGACCAGTGTCTCCAGAGAAATGTACAAACTTTGTCCAGGTAATTAGTGATAAATTTGCACTTATCCACCAATTATTCACAATATAGCAGATTAAATTGTCCTGTAAAGACAAAATTTAAGACCCATGATTAACAATGTACTTTTTAAAATGAATTAAAGATATTTCAGTTTTAGACAGATGAATTTCAGACTTTTGAAGGCAGAAGGAAGCAGTGTGCCTGTACCTGAGGTCTGATCTGAGCAGCCTTTTTGGGGTCCACTATGCGGACGTGTTCAAAGTGTTTGAGGGTGTGCTGCCTGTCCTTCTGCTCGGCGCGGACGTACTTCTTCAGCAGGCTGAAGACGTGACGGGGCTGTGAAAGACAATGAGGCGATGAGAATTATTCATGCGGCGGGGAATCTTCAAAAGAAACCACCAGTGGAGAGGTTTTGATGTGAAATTCTCTGAAACGGAGTCGGTGCCGTTCACCCTGGGCGGGTCCTGCTGCAGAGCTGTCAGGTAGCTCTCCAATGCCAGGCGGCGCCGGTCGTTGAGCAGAGCCTCCACCCGGGCCATGTGGGTCTCCACCAGCTGCTGGCGCTCGCTGGCCGCCTCCTGCTCCAGATCCTCCACCTTCACTTGGAAACGCTGCAGCGGCAGAAAAATTTCATCAGTACTGAAAAACGACAAAAAAAAAACACGGGCGGTGTTCCGATGTGTGCTTCCACGCTGTTCTTACATGAATCACAGCTTTCTTGTCGGCACGTGGAAGATTCTTGGCTTCCCTCTCGGCCTCCTCCCACTCCCTCATCACCTGAGCACAAACACAGGAAGGAAAATTTATTAAGTCCGGCGAGCTGATTTTTATTTTCGTCCGTTCCCGGCAGAACACCGCTTCACATATTGCTGCTTTTCAGAGACAAAGTGCAGAGTTCTCCGTCCTTTTCAACAAATTTCCTAAACGGGTTGAAAAACTGACAGTGGATTTAGAGAAGACAAATAAAACTTAATTATGTTTAATTCTATTTGGAAAAGATAACTTGTTTTTTTTTTAAATAAATTTCTTAAAATTTTTGGGGTTTAAAACAAATTTTCTTTCCTGCAAAAAATGATATAGAGAAAACATGTTCCAACCTAATCCAACCAGAAAATAGAGCCAAAAGAATATTATTGGTACTTTTAGTGTAATTCTATTCAAATCAATGCAATTACTCCATGAAAAAAAAACACTGAAAACTCAGATTTGTTGTTATAACTACATTTAAAAAAACATCAGCTTCTCTACAGAATGCTGTTTTACAAACTGGAGCTATCTCCAGGTGAAGGAAGGAGACTGAAGCAGAAATGCATCTTTTCAAACACGTTGGCTTCTTTCTTGCCTGGGACATCCTCTCGCGGTGCTTCGCTTCCAGACTCTCCTTTGCTTTCTGGAAGTGGGCGTGCTCGTTCTCGTCGGCGGGCGTCTCTAGGTAGCGGTCCACCGCGTTGGGGGAGCTGGGCTTTGCCGTGGGAACTGCGACAAGATTTAAAAGTAAATAAATAAAAAGGAGTAGGAGAGGAAAAGAAAATCCCGGTGGTGAGGAGATGTTTCAGAAAGTGGCAGGAATGAGATCACAACGTCCAGAAAAGGGTCAGTGAGGTTAGTGACAGCAGAGAAAAGAAAAATCAGGTGTGTAGCTGGAAGCCAGGACCTTCAAACGGTGTGTAAATGCATTAGATAAGCCATAATGCATTGAGAAAAGAGACAAAACCTCTTACAGTCACATGACTTCACCCAGGCCATGCTGAAGCTTTCCTGGTGAAACTCCTGACGGGAATTCATCTGGGAGTAAATCGGACAGCGTTACGGCGTTAAAGTTTAATCAGAGGAAAGATGATCACCCGTCAAGTGCGCTTTCGAAGCGCTGCGCGAGCGCAGGCGTGAAGGTCGCGCGTCGTGAAGGTCGCGCGTCGTGAAGGTCGCGCGTCGTGTGAAATCGGTCACGTCTCACGAGCATGTGACTTCAAAGAAACACCAGAGGGACGCGACTCGCTGCCCCCAGATCGGAGATTTCTCAGCTTCAAACATATTACAGAACCTTAAATATGAATATGTTGTTGATGCATTGAATTGGGACAGAGTGGTGCTCAGTTAATTGTTCAGATTTTTGTCAAAAAAATAAATAAAGCTTAGAAAAACAATGCATCAATGATGCATCACACTAAATTTTAATAAAACACTTTGAAAGTTATAGTTTAATCTTAAAATGTTGAGCCATTGAGTGCTTTTAAAACCTGGACCAACACACAAAACTTTTACTTTAACTGATTCATGTGCGTTAGAGAATAAACCTTATTTTATCACACATGAAAATACGGCATTAGCGTGTCGAAAGCAGGTTTGGATCCTGACACATTTTACACAAACAAAATGGAATTGTGAAGTGAATGAATAAACCAGAGGAACCAGCAGCCCAGCCTGCAACATGTCACGCACATAAAGGACGATGGGCGCTGAAGCATGGCTTATTGCGAAAATAATGTCTGCCCGGGTTATTTCACAGCTCATATTGACGCTGAGCTAATATACAGGAGACGGGCGCATTGTAAAAGCTGCTATGAGAAAAATTGAGGTTAAACGACAACAGCTGCAGGTTTTAAATTATTCAACCGTTGCACTGTAAAGATTTATTTTAGAATAAGCTTTTTCTGACTGGTTTTCTTTGCATTTACTGGTTTTCAAATTCAACTAGAGGAAATTGTAGTTTAACTACATTATAACATCATATATTACGGCTTATTTTTATGGAACGGCGTGTTTTTTTCTAAATAACTTTTGCCCTTTGGAGCAATATTCTAGGAAATTTACACCTTCAATGTAATTATTGTTTTTGTTAATGTGGAACAAAACTAAATCTGACAAAAAAATCTCGAGATGTCTCCATAATCTAGTGGATTTGGGAAACTTCTATAAAATAGAAAGTTTGGCATTTTAGCAGGAGTGTGTAGAGTCTTTATCTCCACTGCAAATGTGTTTCCATCCCTCCAAAGTCTGGACTTAGTTACTACTAACCCAAGTGGAAATATTCAAACACTCTGACCGACTTGTGAAGAACTGCCCATGTAGCAACACTCACACTGGTGTCGGAAAGCAAAAAAGAGGAGGGAAAGTAGAGGAGGAAAATGTTCGAATATAGAGGAATAATTACATGTTAGACAGGAATATACGTCTAGAGGCAAAAAAACACACCAAGGAGGAATCCGGGGGGTTAGAGAGATCTGATTGGCTGGTTAAGTCTGGCTCGCTGCCGTGGGCAGGACTTACTGACGCTGCTGCAGACAGCCAGGCAGTACTCCTCTGAATCAAAGTTATTCCTGTTGCCTCCGCAGCCGCCGTAGATAAACTGAACACAGCGGCCCTCCTGGCGGTCAAAGTACCAGCGGGGCAGCATGGCCCGGCATGGGCCAGTCTCAGCATTGGCCCAGCACACATCTTGGAGGACACACACACACACACTTATCATTTAGGCAAAATGCGCCAATATGTACAGAAAATGTGGAGGAGAAACAGTGTGTGCCTGAACGCGACGGCTGGGTTTATGATTTTAAAAGTTTGCGCCCCCTCTTACCTTTGACAACTTCCTCCACAGACTCCGTGGTTGTGGTGGTGGTGGTTGTCATGGCGACGTTAGTGGTGGGCTCGTCGCTGTCGTCAAGCGTGTCGATGATGTCGTCGTCGTCCTCCTCGTCCACCGCCTCCTCGTCCTCCTCTCCGTCTCCGTCCTGGTCGTTGTCCAACTGATCATCCTCCTCCTCCTCCTCCTCCTCTTCATCGTCGTCACCCTCCTCCTCCGGCTCGTCCTCGTCCTCCTCCACCACAGATGGTTTGGTTTCCTCTTGCTGCTCTGCTGGCTCCGGCTCCCGCACCATGCTGAGAGACACGAGGGCATGAAGAAGGAACGCAGAGGACAGAGAGAAAATCGGATTCACACACACTGATCCTAAAACAGCTTCACACGTCTATGGCAGCCATTTCCTTTCAAGGATATAATATCTGTCCTTGTGGAAATGCTACGCCTGAATGAGGCAGTTTCTGACGCATCACTTTACTATTCCCAGCAGCCTCAACCCTAATCTCTCCCCACCTGTTGTCGGCGTAATCTGTCTCCACTCCGCCCCACCAGACGTCAGAATCGTCGGCGTCCTGCTCTACGCTGTCCGCGCCCCTCTCCGCCTCGCTGGGGCAGCAGACAAACTCCACTCCTCTGAAGCGGTCGATCCCACAGGGCAGCAGCATCCCATAGTCATGGAGATTCATGGTGCGGTCCCCACAGTTCTACACGACCAGGGGCATTGAGTGAGTCATAAACGGTGATAAATACGTCAAAGAGAAGAGGTGACAAAAAAAAGAGGTCCTCACCTCCTTGGCTACGGTGTGCCAGTGCAGGTGGCTCTCGCATTTATCCATCCGCTCCTGGTGGAGGAATTTGCACTTGTCAGGAACCAGCAGAGCGTCGCTCACAAATTCTCCCACTGCAAACAGAAAAGACTCAGAAACCATACGGAAACTTTTTTTTTTCCAGACAAGAAAAAAAAAAAACTGGCACTTTTGAAAACCCTAAACAGCCAGAAAACATGGCCGATTTACCCAGGCAGCGATAGGGCACCACTATGTGCACATGGCTGCGGCACTGGTTGCGTCCCTTCTTGCACCAGTTCTGGATGCTGACTGGCTGGTTGGCTTCCACCACGTTGGTGATCTGGAGTTCTGGATACACCTGTAGACAACATTACAGCCCAACTCTGTGACGATTCATTTCTACAGGGTAACAGTTCTGAGATAAAAACAATACAAATGGACTGACGAAAACAGCTTCAATACACTACGACAGTATATAAATGATCACTGTTATTAAGTATGTCTGGTGATGGTAGTTTACATTCAACAGCAGAGATTAAAAAAACTAAAATATAACAATTTTGAAATGTCTCTTTCACACAAACTCTGTACAGCTGATTAGTCTAAGAACAAAACACTAATTTAACAGAAGTTAAGCACTTTCCAAACCTATACAAATATCTCACTAAAATGCAAGCATTTCAGAATTTTAACATCTGTACGAACCCCGAAGAAACACTTTCTATTATTTTTACACTTTATTCACTCGATGCCCACAATAGTTTTGATTTTCTTTCAATTTGGTAAAGTTGCTTTAAAACTCAAACAAAGCAAACTTGTGTCTAAATGGCTTAGTGATTTTGTGTTAAGCTATAACTTTCTCGTGGATGGATTCATTAACAGACCTGCAGCCACTGATGTCATCAACTATTACAGTTTTCAATCAGAGGAAGATCGGCTCGCTCAGAGCCTCTGTTTTTATTGGTGTCTTTTTCCTAGAAGATATTCTTGTTTTCTTTTTAATAACTAATCTAAAAGCTCAGGGTTGAGTTTAGCTGCGTCCCGTTCCTGGGTTCTCTGGATTTTCCTTCAATAAAGCAGCGGTTGAGGCCATTGTTGCCGTCAGCAATGGGGACACTGTTTTCCATTCCAACAGGAAGTTCTCCGGGTTCAGGCCTTCAGTCTTTAGTTGTGTTTCTTTCTCCCACAAAGCCATTGACGACTACATTGCTGTATTATTCTCATTTCCATAGAGAGTAATATCAGTTCAGTGTTCTGGAGATCAGCTGAGTCTTTCTTGGACAAAGCCACAGATGAATATATATTGTTGTGCTCAACTCTGTGTGCTCTCCATTTTACATCTGTTTTTCTCGTGTCTCTTTCATCAACGACGCCACTGCTGATATTGTGGCCACAAACTTTGGAACAAAAGAAGCCAATTTTTGCCTCATGTTTGTTTTCTCCTTTTTATTTAAATCAAACTCCGTCCTGTTCAATCATTTCTTTTTGCAGGATATCTTGACACATAATAGGCTGTGAAAGCACAAAAAAGTTGCACGATAGCTTGCAAAAAAATATTTTTACTCATCGACAAGAAAAGCCAAACCTCTCCTAAAGAGCTACTGTAAACTTTCAGAGACAATTTACCTCCTGGCAGTATTCCAGGATGCCCTCTTTGGTACCGATGCAGCTCTTCCTGCCGGAGGGGTCGGGCTCCCACTTACCGCTCTGCACATTGATGTGCATGTTGAGTTTACCGCAAAACATCGCCACCTGGGGCTCGGCCAGCAGACCCATGGAAACGTCGGCAGGAACCTGAGGAAGAGCGTACAGAGAAAATGTCATGAAAATCTTGTGAGAAACTGAATGAGTGCTGGTATCTAAAACGCAACTGTAATGGGATTAAAATCTTCATATGGGGAAAAGACATGAATGATGTGAGGAATGGAAGACGAAATATCAACGTGGAGTTTCTTGTGTTTTCTTTTTCTTCGCAGCATTTTCAGTTTGGCAGTGAAGTTTAAAAAAAGAAAATCAAAGATTGGTTCTTTTTTTGGTGGGTTCTGGTCTGAGGAATCGTCTATGAAGGAAAAAAAAACCCACCTTTGACATGTAAACCAACAGTGGTTTCTCTGCTGGTTTACATCCCTGTGTGATGATTTGTACCTCTGCTTGTTCGAGCTACAACAGCCAGCCTGCAAGAAAAAAGGGTTTTGTGCAGATTCTCCTCAGAGAGGAGGTGCAGACAAACTGCTGAATGTCTGCATTGTACTGTCAAATGGGCTAGAACAAAATGGGAGGGAATATGGGAGGGGGGGAGAAAAAAGAGACAGAGACAGAGGGAGGAAGGAGAGGGACTGTTGCCATTGTATGCTCCCTAATCTTGTTAATGGTTTGAAGGCCCTGGCAGGCAAACAAATGTTGTTTTGTGAGATGGATAGCATATTTTCCCCTGCAGACTTGATTCTTTCCCAGCAGCCATGAGCACAGAGTCCCTTCACCGAGAGAATAGCTGGTCGATTTGGATTCATTTTAAAAAAAAAAGAAACACTCTAACGCCTGAATCGATTCAGCAGCACTGTACCTGGTGTATCACTGCGGAGATTAACTTCATTGTACCGCTTTTACGCACGTCATATTTACACAGCTGGCTTCATCCGAGAGTGACCACATTCTCGGGAAATGTTCTCCGTTCGCCAGAATGCAACCAAAGAAAATGAGCAGAGAGCTGGTCAGGTACACAAACACGGGACGAATGCTAAAGAAAACAACATCTGCACTACGCAAAGCAACTGCCTCATACGGCAAGACAACGAGTGGAGAGCTTATTGCTCAGAAACAAAAAATTGATTGGACCTCAACTGTTTTGAAGCTATTTCACAGAATTAATTTCTTTCTTCAGCCCCGTCTTCCAAAAAGTGAGAATAATGAATACATTGACACTGCGCCACAACGCAAGACAGTCAGCATGACAAGCGTTTTTGCTTTTCTTAGATAGAAAGCTACAATTTGAATCTGTCTATGCAATCGAATTAATTTGATTCTACGCAGATGTTTGTTTCAAAGCGCCTTGAGATGATGGTTACGATGAAGAAGCAGAAAGAACAGGCTACTGCTATTTACATCTGTCACAGAAATGCTGGTTTTTTAAATGCTTGCCACCTTTTGGAAAGCATAGATTTGAAAACACAATCTAAATACCAACTGCTTCCATAATCGTACAAATCTGGCAAACAAAAGTTGCTTGGAGTATCTCAAAATCCAACCCTTCATTTTTTGTTGTTTTTGTATTGCTGGTAATATATTGAACCAAGAACTACTGCAGGAAATGACATGAAAACCTCTGAAGTGCAACTTACAGGGAGGGTCATTCATCCACCTGAATCAATATAATTCTGCCATTACACACAATTCATTCATTTAGAGCCGTTAGATACCAGCATACTGTAGGTCAAGGGTGCGCCTTTCAGAGTTCATAATTTAGCTACAGGTCAACATAATCTGCATGCTGAAAAAAATCCCTCACAAACAAACACTAGGGTGTAAAATCCCCCATTGGCCACAACCCTCCTCTGTTCTCACAAACAATAATTTAACTCTGGCGGCCATTACTCTTGACACGGAGCCATCTGCACCACCACAGGACTATTTGGAAGTCTGTCGCTATGCTACTCACAGATCACCACCATCTGTGACGCTAACAGATACACACCACGTTTTACTCATTGACAAGAAAAGCCAAAGTGGTGGCTTTATAAACAACCTAAAAATAGAGAGCAGTTAATTAAGATAGTCCTTAGAGCCTACGGTTTTATTTTGACCTCATTACGAGTGCTTGACACACCTGGCCAAGTAGATAAAACTTTGTCTCTGCTCTGAGGTACATGCAGGTAAATCAGTAGACGACAAGCTGCTTGCCGACATTAAAATTCTTGGTCGTCCTCATTTGGATGGCAAATCGAATCCTCACCGATTGGCCCTTTGCCTCTCGACCTCTCTTCTGTCAAAAGAGGTGAGGAGAAGCAAGGGGATGGTAAAGCAGTCAAGGCTCAGCTGCTCGCCTATAAATCAGAGGCCGGGGAAAAAGACAAGAGCAGAGCGCACGAGAGAAAACAATGGCTACAATAGCAAGAGACAGGGAGAGATTGGACAACAGATGAAGTGGACAATAAGCCTTTGGGGTCAGGAATGAGGTTGGTGACTTTTCAAAGCAGAGAGTCCTGCCATCAGAATATAAAAACATGTCTGCGTAAAAAAATAACCACTTTGATCCACTTATATGAAGGATCTGGTAGCATTTTGAAAAACTCAAAAGATAATAACAGGGTGAGAACGTGATTGTTTGGATCTTGAGGCAAATCAACGAGGAACAGATGGACTCTGATGACTGGCAGACAAATGCCAAACCACATCAGCCGCAAAGCTTTGTGTGTCATAAACCAAGACACCAGCCACATCCCACCCACCCCCCTTCTGTCGTTATCTTATCTCAGCTCTGGCTCAAAGTCTGCCAGCCTGACAGTCGGCCGTCATGCAGAGAAGGGAGCGGTAATCTGGGCGCTGTGGATTAGGACAGCAGTCAGCTCAGGAGAAATATCCCGGTTCGCTCCCAATCTGGCATGATACCCATCCCATTACCTGACTGAATAAATGAGAGCGGAGAAGGCCAACATTGCGAGACGATGACCTCATAAAGACGGTGTCAGTAAACCTTAGATGCATAGCGTCATTAAACGACACAGCAACACAAAACTGTAGCCAAATCTCACCTTGGAAGATTTATTTATACATCATAAATAAAGGAAAACCCCAAAGGAACAATTGAATCATGCACAACAATAACAATCAAGTTTAGCTTAATAAACTGATTAAAGTGAGATCTACTTGTGCAATTTGCCGGAGTGGTTTCGTCCTCACAGCTTTATAATGAGGACGCCACGCTCGGTGCATGAAATATCTGCAATTTCATTAGAAGTGACTTCAATCACATTGTGGATCGCTGTCATGATTCATGACCCAAATCCCACTCAAATGAGTCTTAAATACATGGAACATGATGTCATGCAACAGCTGGAACACCAAGTCTTTGTTTTTAGTTGTCCTGGGTGCTTATGACCTCAACATCGACCAACAAGAAGTACATTTTAATGTGATGAATGCATCCTCCTCCCTCATTCCTCCTCTTCTTTCTCAGCTTCATGTTAATTGTCCAAATATTCCCATCTGAAAGTCATTGCCTGAAGACTTGCATAACATGCGCTGCCTTGTGCAAGTGAAAAAAACGCTTATGACTGCAGGCAGTGATGTGATCAGCACCTCCAAAAACCAGAGACGGGTTTATTGCCCGTTACGTCTAAATGGGGGTGTCAGAAATAAAGAAATATTACAACACAAGCAAGCCAAAGGCAAATAAATCTATTTTTACACACCCCTTCGCAGCCACATAGACTGGCAAAACTGTTTAATGTATTCTTGTGCAATCTTTGAAGTGTCCCCAATGGGTGCTGGTCCTGCAGCGCTATTAATTGCACAGTCTTATCTGAGTGGCCCAGGACTGCTGTGAGGAGCGGGATAGGGGTGATGGCGGCTGGAGGGAGGGATAAACAAAGTGTGTGTGGGCGGGGTGTCTTTAAGCAGCCCTCATTCCACTGGGGAGACTCCCCGGAGAGCAAAAACCTGACACAAATTTCTCTGTGGCCCACACGTCTTTTCTAGAAATCAGCGGCCGACCGACGCGACAGGGCCGACCGTTAACGAGACGAGGCAGTATTGTCCAGGCCGGGACGTGACTCTAATGCACAATCAGTACACAGAGCAGACAGAAGACGGATTCCTTCGACATACATTGAGCATCCATGATGGAACAGGGTTGCTATTGGGTGTAACACAACTACTCTGCTTTTTCTTTTTGTGTTAATAATCAATCGTTTACGGCGTTAGCAGGACTGGCGGTCAGGCGGCTGATGCATCACTTTACTAATTTGTTGACTTTCCTTGAGAGGATGGATAATAGCAGAGTTAATTAGGACAAGTGGGGTCTAAATGGGCAGGACCAAACCACAGAATTCAAATAAACACTTCAGGCTGTGGCTCAGAACCCGCCATCCTTGACTGGACCACAATCAAATGTGTGAGTGATACTGAAGCTCATCTTTTCAGAGGATTTCCCTCATTCTCACTGTTGGCTGGACGTTTTAGTTGCAGACTAGATGTTGAGAGAAAAAGATTTATCATAAATATTTGGTGGGAATACAAAAAAAAAAACAACAAAAGGGGATTGCTTTGATTCGACTTTTACGTACCAAGAAGTTTCAGATCAAGACACGCAGATTGCACCATAACCTGCCAGGCGGTTCTTTAAATCAATATTTCTCAAACCATCTGCGAGACGTATTGATCTTGCCACTTATTCAGTCTTTAGCAGGTCAAACAGACATGATGAAAGGTTTCCTCAACCGCTCCTGATTGCTTCTCTTCATCTTCCGCTCCTCATCTTCAAAAGTTTTCATCAAAGTTCAATTGAAGAATGATCTACATTTATATTTAATGCGATTAAGCTTCGTCCTGAGGGATTCCAGTGGAATAAGCGTCTTAGGCCAATCTGTTCAAATCTGATTAGAAGTGTGTAAAGAATCACATTGGGAACTACTGGACATCTAAAAACGTCTAGACAAAAAACGAAGAGGGACTCTTTGGTGTCCTTAATTATACTCGGCATGGATACACCTTCTGCTCCAGGGACCTGCCTGTTATAACCTCCCAGAGTCATCAGCGTAGCAACCTGAGGCAACACCGTTATCCAGTAGTCTCATCTG